AGACACTTTCTACTATAATAGACACTGAGACCTCTACTGTACTATAACACTTATTACACCCCCATACTATAAGAGACACTTTCTACTATAACAGACACTTATTACACCCCCCATACTATATAGACACATTGCACGCAGTGTACTATAATGGCTATTTATTTCATGCACTGTATTATTCTGTCTACTATAGTATAATAGCAACTTATTGCATGAACTGTTCTATACTTATTCCACATACTGCACTGTAATAGCTACTTATTCCATCTACTGTACTATAATAGAAACATATTCCCCACACTGTTCTATAATAGTGACTTACTCCAGGCACTGTACTGTAATTGGTACATATTGCATCTGCTATACTGTAATAGAAACCTACTGCATCTACTGTTCTATAATAGCTACATATTCTATGCAATGTATATTAAACTGATACATATTGCAGCTACTGTACTATAACAGAAACATATTCCATGTATTGTTCTATAGTAGCTGCACATTGCATCTACTCTAATAGAAACATATCCCATCTACTACAATTGCTACATATTCTACATAGTATAATAGCTACATATTCCATGTACTGCACTGTAATAGCTACATATTTTGTGTAGTATACTATGCTATGTATTCTATGTACTGCACTGTAATAGCTACGTGTTCTATGTATTATTCTCTAATAGCTGCATACTCTATGTATACTATAATAGGTATATTTCCATGTACTATATTATGTAATATGTAAGTTATATATGTTAAGTATAAATTATATGTTCTACAGTACATAAGATATATTGCTATTATACTATAGTACACATGTTATTATATAACTTAATATATATTTTATATACATACACACACACACACAGTGTTGTTCTGTGTCAAGGAGATCCCACAAGGATGTTAGTAATGTCCTGCCTGTTGGTTTTGCCAGGTTGGGCTATGCACATACCTCGCCAAAGAGCAATAGTGACACCTGTTTACTGTCCTTTTGGTTGCAGGAACAGGGGAGCTCTACACGTGGGGCTGGGGTAAGTAAGAGTTAATTTTATGACCCAAGAGGAAGAAGAATCTCTAAGTTCAGTTTAGGTGATAAAGGCACAGATTAGTGGACAGCAGCCTTGGCTGGATCATTGGTAGGTCAGGACTGAGAAACTGTGTACACTCCTCTGGGGCTCAGACAGACACACGCATAAGTTTTGAGATCCAACAGGAGGTAAATTAAGGAGAGAGTACTAATATCTGCCCCCCTTTCTTAAAGACCTTTTGCCTTAAGGGAATATCTCACCAGCTTATTTACAAAACATCTCTTTTGTTGCTGTTCTGGTACCTGGTAGAGGAAAAGATAACATGGAAATCTTTTTTTTTGTTTTTTAACTCTTCATTTAATTTCATTTGGGACAAGCAGATGAATTCCCACAAAGCTGACCACAGTTCGAGTCCTTAAAACTCACACAGCTTGTGCATGTGCATGGCCATCCCACCAGGGGGTGACTTCTTGCTTTCTGTCTTTCTCTCCAGCAAGCACATGCACTCTATAGCAAGAATCTCTCAAAACAAAACACAAAACACCCCACACATTTTGTCATTATTTTAATTTGCTAAAGAGCACATATACTCACCAGAGAGTGAGAAAGTGATGAAGCAAGCTGCCAGGTCCAAGACTTGAACTGTAATCACCCATGTAGGAGGAGTCCCGAGTCTTAACCAATATGACACCTACTGGCCCTGATAACATGGAAGTCTCTGCTCTGAATTCTACTTAGTTAACAGAGCATCTTGCCTGGTGTGGCAACTTGGGGACTCCTCAGGTTTGCCTGGCCCTAGAGGCGTTCTGGCTCCGGGCCTCCTGGACTCATTAGGAAGACCCAGCAGGTGGTAGCAGAACCCTAGCACTTGTGATAGACTGGCTTTGTCCTGGAGGGGAAGCAACAAGCCCTGGCAGATGGCAAAAGGGGCTTGCTCCACTGCAGGTAAATACGGACAGCTTGGCCACCAGGACACCACCAGCTCGGATCAGCCCTGCCGTGTGGAGTACTTCACAAATAAACAGCTCCAAGTAAAGGCTGTCACCTGTGGGCCTTGGAATACCTACGTGTATGCTGTGGAGAAAGGGAAGAGCTGATGTATATGTGTATGTATGTATATCTTAAATGATAGGAAATATAGAAAAGTGTATAAAACAATGTGCTGTATATTTAAACACCACGATCCCCCTAATCAGGTGGAGGAAACCACTGCCAGCCCCCAAAAGCCAAGCATTTGCCTCTCTCCGTCATAGCCCTCTCCCTTAAGCAAGGTCCTAAACCCATCTGGGCTTTAAAAACACCTGCAAGGCATTAGAAATGCTGATACCTGAGCCAGCCAGGTAGTGTGGTGGTTAGGGCAGCTGGCCCCCACATGGCCAACTGCAGCCTTATCCTACAGCCTGACCAGTGGCAACCAAAGCAGCTGCTTACCATTACTTCAGCTCTTTCATACAAGAATTAGGCCGTTTTTCTCAAAAAGTTTTCTAAGAAGTGATCATTTTAATGTAAAAAGGAACAATATAAAAATTGGGCTAGTGGGTGGCTCCCCCAGAGCTGGCTACACAGTTCGAGTCCTGGACTCCCTCTCTCTCTGTTGTTCTAGGCAAAAATCTAGAGGGGTCACATCTCAAACTCACCTTTTCTGTTTTGTACAGACCAAGAGATTAGGAAGAAATGAGAACAAACACCACACTGTGTCCTTCTGAAATGTAAGTATATACAGTTTAATTTATTTTTAACATGTATTTTAAAAACTAGAACAGATATATGTATGACTGAACAGCATGGCTGTCTGCACGGGTAATCTTTTGGGAACCATTTACTGTGCTGACAGCTAGACCGGTGCAGGCAGGCAGTTAAGAATAAATAGTGCTTTGGGAAGAGCAGTAATGATTGACAGGATACCGCATCGTGGATGCAATAGCAGGAAAAACTACCCAGTAGTGACATGTGCAAAGACCCAGATGTCCACGACATAAATGGCCCAACCCACCCAAAACCACCTCTAGGGTGGCTGGCAACTGCAGGGGTGGGACTCGGGCATAGCAGGTGCGGGGATGGGAGTCTAGACCCAGATTAACTCTGAAGAGAGCTCAGACAAGTACATGTGTTCACACACACTGGAGGACATTGCACAATATAACAGAACTGTACACATTTTAACAAAGGAGCTTTGGGCCTCCCTGTCCTCTTTGACAATAGGTCAGGCCATCTAACTTCTGATACACGGGCATCCTTATTGGGCAGAAGGCCATCCTGTATGGTGGAGACAGGCCTTCAGGTGATAGCCAAGCTGTTATAGGTACAGCATTAGTTGAACATCTCTAAACAAGGTGTTAATTACTAGTTACAAGTATACAAGCCATAGTACTTCATGTACTTCAGGAAAGTATGGTCATTTATTTTCCTAGACAATAGTGAAATAAAAATAAGCCCTTGATTGCATTTCAGCAAGTAGAATTATGGGGGAGAAAAAGGAGGAGGTGTTCTTATTGCTAGCAACTAAGTGTTAATGTATTTCTTGAGTCAAAATGAAGTCCTGTCTCTAAGGACCCACTAAACTACTGTTAGGCCTGTGGTGATGGAACCTGAACAAGGGCTCAAGCACACCTGAACTGGAGGACTGAAGCCACCTTTGTGTTAGGGTCCAGGACAGGCACAGAAAGCCTCGGCTGGCTGAGAGGGCTTCTCAGGACTGGATGTTGGTTGAATTGAGGATTCGAGACGTAGTATCAGATCTGGAAGCCTTTGAAAGTTCTCGCTGTTGAAAGACAAAAACATCATCAGTAACAGTCCTAGTCCTGCCCTTGTGGTGCCTGCCCCCCAGTTTTGAAGCAGTGTTAAGTGTCAGCGGGTACCTCGTGGGTGGCTTCTCAGATAGGGTTCTAGCCCAGCACAAGCTGTGTGAGGGACAAGAGGTGAGGCACCTTGAGCACCGTTCTGTTAGTCACAGACCAAGCACACATGAATGCATGCTGGCAATCCTCCTCCTTCAGCCACGGTGTGAAAACCTCACACTTTACAGGGGTGTAGAGCTAAGTAGGCAGCAGGCTTTGGTCTCTTGAGCCCTTTGTAAAGCAGTGGGCCAGACCATGTATCTGCCAATCCCTGGGGCTGAGGGCCTTGAAACCTGGTGACTTGATCTCATGCTGGAGCACATGGTACAGAGGCAGAAGATGAAGCAGAAATGACTGAGAAGACAGTGTATAACAGAGTTAGTTACTGGCTTTGGCACTGCCTGGTGGAGTCGACTAGCCCTACAGATCAGGTAGCCCTTAGCCCCAAATGGGTCTTGGCTGAGGGGCCATGGATAAGCAAGCAAGATAAAGCTAGACCCTCTGTTCTGCAATCAGCAGCCCAAGTGAATAGCACCCAGTTCTAAGGGGGCCCCCCACCAGTCATGTAAGTTGAAAACAGTGCCAGACTCTGAAGTCGCCTCAGTGCTCTAAACGGGCTCTAGGCGGGGGCAGCTATCCCTTGCTCCCTTCCTGCTGCAATGAGAGGAGGCAGCTGAGGCTTAAGTCAGGGAGAGGCAGCCTCTCCTCACTAGCAAGATACTGAGGGAACAAGAGAACCCAGTGTCAGGCATTGCAGGTCAGCGTTAGCAGAGAGTAGGCTACTAGGAGGTGAAGAGGATGCTGGGGAAACTTTCCATGCATCTGCAGCTAGTGTGGCAGAAGATGAGAGCGAGAGACGAGAGGGGCTGGCTCAGCACAGAGCTGGCTGTCCAGCCCGAGGGTGAGTAGAGGTGCGTTAACTCCAGAAGAAATCAGCACGCAGGCCAAGCACCTAACAGGCAGCACACAGCTGGGGCTCCCTCCCCACCTAACGGGATTCTTATTCATGGCAGCAAGCTGTAGGCCTCGGACCTCAAAGCGGGGGAGGGTGAAGGTTTTCTGTGGTAAAACATGATTGAAAAAACGGCCTGATTTTAAGTGGGGCTGAGAATCCAATTCAAGTCTGAACAAATGAAGTGTTCTTACTAGCCTATTGGGGATGTGAGCTGGATGTTGCCATGTGAAGTCCATAATGGGAATTCCTCATTCGTTTAAAAAACGGGGGTTGGGGGGGGGTTTACGATAGGTAGCACAGCTGCAGTTACTGGTGAGTGTGGCCCTATGCCCAGTGGGAATGAAGCCGGCAGAGGACAGATCAGCTTGGAAAGGGGACATGCAGGGGTTGCTATACAGACCTGAAGCCCAACAGTGGAGCTGTCAGAGAGGAACGGATCCTTCTAAGAACAGAAAATTAGGACAATTACCAAGAACTCCACCAAGAGAGCACCAAGCTAGTAATTAGAGGGGTCACCTCCTGCAGCCAGGGAATGGTATGTCAAGTGGAAGAATCCAGGGAGTTAAATCTCTAGTTGCTACTGCCAACTTTCTTCCTGTGCACCCTCAGTAGGCCACCCCCATCATGGTCAAGGCAGGAAAGGGATTCTCAGCCTCCAAAGTAACTGTGCTAAGGGCCTGGGTGCCCCAACTGTGTGCTCCCCAGAGACTGGTAGATATCAGAAAACGTGAATTAATTACCGCAAACTCAGAATAGGTGCTGGCAACAGAATTAACGCTGAAGTTGCGCTGGAGAGGGGCTGCGTCGGGGTACCCACCGCTCAGGAAGCTGCCATTGAGCTCCAGGTTCTCCTTGTTGGCTCCGTGCCTGGCGGCACGGGGTGTCTTTTTCCCTGAACAGGTGGAAGTGGCTACTGGCTGCAGAGAAGGAAAGGTTCTGGTCACTCTTGTAATGAGTACATACACTCCCACCAGAGGTCAGGGGCGGACACTTGGGCTATGACTTTTTATAAGTAATCCCACCCCTCAGGAAATGTAATTCCTACAGGTGTACAGGACACTGCCCTTGACCTTGCCTGTAAACTCTTGGAAGGACTGAGCCTAGACTGGCACGTGCTCCCCGCCTCTTCTGAGCACCTGACTGTGCACTAATACCAGAGAGCATATCTACCTTGCTGCCAGAAGGAGGCAATCTTGACACAGGGGAGCGGTAGACAGTTCCTCCAAAGACAGGTCGGATGGTAGTGTTGGCAGTAGCATTGGACATGGTGGTAGTGTTCAGCTAAGAGGAGAAAGGAATGAAAAATGAGTCACTCATTTATGGCCATGAGTCCTTCCATCCCGTCCCGACTCTCGCACATCCGGGTGTACAGTCTTGAGCCTACCTTGCGCACTTTGCCTGGAGTGTTGGGGGCCAGTCCTCGCCGCTTGTTAGGCGTCGGGGGGGTGCTGCCATAAAGCATCTCTGTCTCCATCTGCTTCTTGTTCTTCAGTTGCTGCATAGAAGTCAAAAGCAACCGTGGTAAATCCCAGGAAGGAAGGAGACCTAAAAGAGCTGCCATAGGCTGACGCCCTCTCTGCCCCACCGCACCCCCAGCCGACTCCCTCTTCCCCATCTGTGATCTTACTCTTTCCTGCTTGGCCCTCTCCTTCTCCAGCCGATGCATCTCCCACTGCTCTGCCACGTACTCCATGAACTTCTGCCCATTCACCACGAAAGCCTGTGCATGTTCCTGTTCCCACATTTCAATCTGTGCCTTCAGCTCTTCTTCCAGCTGAGACCAGAAACAAATGTTCATTACTGCAAGCCTTCGGGGTGAAGCCCCATAATTCCTCATCCATAGGGACTCCTTTCTTCCCCAGCCACTGATACCAGCTCACTTTCAGGAAGCTGGAACCAGGTCAGAGTGACCAGAGGTCAAAGACTAGGAATGGTTTATCCACAGTCAGCACCAGGAGAGAAAAAGGGGCTGATAGCAAAGGTGGAGGCAGTATTGCAGAGGCAGTGTGCCCTTACAGGACAGCAACCTCAGCCTGCAGCCACTCCCCACTGAACCGCCTGCCTTCAACGACCACTCAGACTTGGGACCAGCTCTCCCGCATGAGCAATTCCTTTCTGTCTCTCAAGTTCTTGTGGTCTGTATTCTCTACGTGACCTGTCTGCAATCACGTGTAACTACGTATTTCTTACATAAACTTGTACTTTATTCTAAATCTGACTATGGGTTCACAATAAACAATCTTGCTGGATTTATATCACTGTGTATCTCGTCACTTTCTGATGCTTATCTAACGTCTGCTTTGTGTACAGCTAGAAAGAAAGACATTTTACTGTGGTGTCACGTGGTATCCATGGAACACACACACACTGTAGTGCCTCACTCACCTCCCAGTTCCCTTAACGACCCAGTAGGACCAGAACTTGGTCGTTAAGTGAGAAGATGGATGCTATTTAACTTCTCAGTCCCTAACTTTCCTCATCTGTAAAAGGGAAATAATAATAGCAACCTCATTGGAATGCTGTGAGGGTTACAGGAATTAAAATGTAAAAGCACTCTAAAACAGCATCTGATGCATAACTCTGTAAACGCTGGTATTATTAACATAGACGTACTATTAAAATTGAAGTCCTAACCAGCAGTACTTGAGGATGTGGCTGGATTTGGAGACAGGCTCTTTAAGGTGCTGAGTTACAAAGAGCCACCAGGGTAGGCCCCAATCCAGTACGGCCCGTAGGGATTACGACACAGAGAAACGACACCCATGTGCAAGCCAAGGCTACAGCCTTAGGAAAGCCAGCCCTGTCAATAACGCCTTGATCAGAGACTTCTGGCTTCCAGATCTGGGGAAACAGGTGTCGCTGTTAAGGTTGCTAGTCTGTGGTACTGTCATGGCAGCCCTAGCAAAGAACACATGGACAGCCAGCTGATCACACTGAAGACCTAAGGTCACCTATTGTTCCCACCTAAGCTTTGGAAAGGAAGAGGTGTGGGTCAAAACAATACAAAGCAGAGGGTATTTAAAAAGTGAGGTATTTTATACTCAAGCACCAAAACCTGAGCAGCAGTATTACCTGTGGAAGTGTTTTCTGGAGTTTGGCTCGTTGCTTTTCTTCTTTTAGAAGATTTCCTCCCCGGTTTGTAAATCGACTTGGATCTGAAGCTTTTCTCTGTGAAAGAGAAAATGTTAGAGTAAAACTTATGACTGTCAGACCAATAGCCTCTGCTACAGTTTCCTGCCATCCTAAAATGATACATATTATTAGAGTGACTTTAAGAGCCCGGTATTCCAGTTCCCTCTCAGCAAGGGGAAATGGGGCACCCCAAGCAGGGGAGTGGGTGTGGGCATTCTTGGCACGTGAAGGTCATCCACTGAGATGCAGACGAACTACTGTTCCCTTTTTAACCTAAAAAATAAGCCATCCCATCACTTCGGGGTTTTTTGGCTAAGATCAAATACAGTAAAGAACTAGGCATCAACAGAGAGTAGCAGCAAATGGCTGAGATGACGGGTTCTGATTACCCTGAAAAATCACACTGTACCCCCTTAAATATGTAGTTACATATTGTAAAAACGGAAAGCTGGGGCCAGCAGGTGGCATGATAGATCCCACATGGCCAATTCCACAGTTCAAGTCCCAGACCTGGAGGCTTGAAAATCACACCAGGAACATGTGTATGCCTGAAATCCCAAGAGGAAAATGGAGAAGAGATTGTAGTGCGGCCACCCGCACTGGGGGTGACTGCTTACTTTCCCTCTCTCTGTTTCTCTGTTTCTGGCAAGCACACAGATCCTATGGCAAAAGTCTTTTTAATTCTTTTTTTTTAAAAATAACTATTTATTATTTTATTTAGTCTTCTTCGATTTGACTAGAGAAGAGACACAGACAGAGAAAGGAAGAGAAGGAGAATGAGAAATCAAGCTGCCAAGTCCAGAACACAAACTATAGTCAGCCGTGTGGAAGTCCAGCGCCTCAATCACCACACCAGCAGTCAGCCCCCTATGGGAAAAATCTTTAAAAGAGCTAGCAGGTTGCATAGTGGTTAAACCACTGCACCCCCATGTGGCTGAATGCGGTTTGAGTCCTGGACTCAAATGAAAATCACACCAGGAACATGTGTATGCCTGAAATCCCAAGAGGAAAATGGAGAAGAGATTGTAGTGCGGCCACCCGCACTGGGGGTGACTGCTTACTTTCCCTCTCTCTGTTTCTCTGTTTCTGGCAAGCACACAGATCCTATGGCAAAAGTCTTTTTAATTCTTTTTTTTTTTAAATAACTATTTATTATTTTATTTAGTCTTCTTCGATTTGACTAGAGAAGAGACACAGACAGAGAAAGGAAGAGAAGGAGAATGAGAAATCAAGCTGCCAAGTCCAGAACACAAACTATAGTCAGCCGTGTGGAAGTCCAGCGCCTCAATCACCACACCAGCAGTCAGCCCCCTATGGGAAAAATCTTTAAAAGAGCTAGCAGGTTGCATAGTGGTTAAACCACTGCACCCCCATGTGGCTGAATGCGGTTTGAGTCCTGGACTCAAAGGCTTGACACGCACCAGGCATGTCTGTGTGTGTGCCCAAAATCTGGAGAGGAGAACAGAGAAGGGATTGCAGTGTGGCTAGTCCCCAGGAGGTGATCTCTCACTTTTTCTGTCTCTCCCATAAGAACACACATACCCTATAGCAAAAAAAAAAAGAAAGGTTTTTGCTGTGGGGTGTGCACACTCACCAGAGACAGAAAGCAAAAAATCACCCCCTGGGGGGATGGCCATGCTGCAATCCCTCCTTCTCCAGTCTCCTCTTGGGATTTTGGGCACACATGCACATGCACCCAGAGTGAGTTTAAAGCTGCTGGGCCCAGGACTCACCACTGTCAAGTAAGTGGGAGTCCAGCAACATAACCATTACACCATCTGCTGGTCCCAGCAAAAATCTCTTCAAAATTTTTCAAAAATCTTGGGAACCAGCAGTTAGCATAATGGCTATGTCACTGGACTCCCACGTAGTTGACCACGGTTCGCATTCCAGACCTGGTGGCTTAGAACTCATGCCGGGTGCGTGTGTGTGCGTGCCCAAGATCCCGAGAGGAGAATGGAGAGAAGGGATTGTGGCGTGACCATCCCCCTTGGGGGGTGATTTCTCGCTGTCTCTATGTCTTTGTCTGTCTGGCGAGCGCACGAGCCCTATAGAAAAAAACTCTCAAAAAAACTGTGGGGGGGGGGCGAGGGG